TTACTTTTGAGTTAGGTAAATGTAAAATAAATAATAAAGAAGAATAATCTTTGTAGCTTTAACTAGAAACTTTAAACACATTTAAACTTGGTCAAGTTAAAGCTTTTTTTATGAATATTTAGTAATTTTAAGGAATAACTTTATACTTGTTTAAGATATTTTACGAAATCTCAAATCCTTTTGATAAATCTTTTCAATTTCCTCATTTTTCAGACCCTATTTGGTGTGCCTTAGGAGGTTTAATATTGGGTGGAATTGTTGTCATCTCATACTGGATAAGACGATGCAGGTATGATTGCAAACAAACGCTATTCTATACCATAAATTTTCCCCTTCGATGAATTCTCAAATATGAAAACTATATATATACCAAAAAATGTCTGCTGACAAAGCTCAGCAGGAAAACTATTCAATCCAATTAGTTTGCCACGAATTCGAATGGTTGGTCATGGATTTGTATCTGTATCTCAACGTTTTGTTTTTCAAAAAATGTGTAAATTGTCGTGGAGAATAAGCCCGTGACACGTGACAAAAAGTAGCGGAGACAACGTGAACGGGCCAACGACCACAGCGAATACACGTGGGGGATTTTCACCAGACCCCCCTCCCCCTTTGCGGAAAAACTCTGGGTGACATTTCCAGTGCAGCTCTATGTATATGAGCCTGTGGTGACATTAGAAAAGACGCAAAATTGCCAGTTGGCCGAGCAGAACAACTGAATAATTCAGCCCGGCAATTGGACGGACCGACGACTGTTTGAGCAATTAACTTAATGATGCAAGGTCACTGGAAATGGGCCTGGCCAAAGTCAGGGAAAGTGTCGGAAAATGGGTGCTGCCTTCATTCCCCCCCCAAACAGTGACGCAGTTGACTTTCAGCCTTCTCAAAGGGCGTGACCAAGGGAGGACCATCCTTAGCCCATTCCCATTCCGGGGGATCCATTACGATTGTTGCGCCAGCCCGTTCGGACAGACAGTTGAAAAATATATACAATAAACATACAGTAGAATGTCCTTGGGACTAACACTAATTTGCAGAGACAAGTAAATATGTTATACAATTAATTATAATATATATATAAAGAGCTATTTAATAATTAAAGCTTCTAGCTGGAGCTGAAATCTGTCTTACAATTAAATAAGAGGAGAACTAATAGCTTTTGTTGATGAAATTAATAAAATTCAAATTTAAACTGTTAAGTGTAGTATAATTTTGAAATGTCATAAGCATTTCCATCTAAATGTCAATTGTAGAGCATTAATTTTCCCTATAATTAACTCCAAATTATCTATTAAGGTTTCCATTCTATGGAAGTCTAACCGTATGTTATAATATATATTTATTAAAAGGACACACGCACTAAAAGGACAACTGACCATGCCAAATGGCTCCATTTTCCAATTTCATTCCATCGCTCCTCGCTTTTCTCCTCTATTTTCATTTTGGCTTCACGCGAGGCCAGCGCGTAAAAAGTTTTCCAATTTCCATATGGAGCTATCAAAGGCAAACCGGCAAAGCAAACAAACTGTAATATTTGCATACTGTCGAATGTCCTGGGAGTAATGGAAAATGGAGTGGGAGTAAGCCAGAGTGGGTGTGGATGTGGGCGTAGGGTGGTGGGGCTAGTGTGGTGGGGCTAGTGTTGTCAGAACGAAGGTAAACAGTCGTTGAGCGGGTCATGATTAATGTGTCACGAAGTGCCGCAAATACACACACACCATTTTAATGGCGGACATGGCACAGTGGGGAAAAGTTGATCATTAAAGGGTTCATTTCAGTAACAGAACAAGTAAAGAATTATAACAATTTATTTTATTTCTTTAAAGTAAAAAGAATGATATATATTGGAAAAAAAACTAAAGTAGGTCTAAATGAACACAAAATCGACAGTTCTCGAAATCTAAGGCTTCTATATACATAGATCTAGAAGAAAGTTTAATACAGATCAATTCACTTATTTTGTATTTAAAGTTTACAAAAATAATATACATCTTTTATAGTTAATAAAAAAAGTGGCCTCATGACTTAAAAATTGGTAGTTTTGTAACTTCTGATCTGAGCTATTATTAAATCTAGGAGATATATTATAAAATGGATTTATATAATGGATTCAATCACTGGTATTTAAAATAAGGAAAAATAATTATATTTCCTATTTTATTTAAATACTTATATGCTTAAAAATAAAAGTAAAGTATGTTAAATTGACCACAGATTTTACAGTTTTAAACATTGTAAAAACATGAAGCCTTACTTCGATCTTTGAAAGTTGAATTTTTTCAACAATTCCCTTAATTAGTAGTTAAAGTTAGGGAAAATAGTTTATCTTCTTTTGTTTATTACTTACTACCCAATTTGCAATACCCACTAATTTGTTGGTACTTCCCTCACAACCTTTCTTTACCAGTAAACAAACTGAACTTGACCTTGTCCCCCTGGGATCCAAGACCCCAGTAATTTAAGCCCACTGTAAATTATCCATACATTGTTAGCCAAACAAACTGACATGCCAAGTTCAAGCAGTGTAGTGGCGACTGAAGACCCTGCCACGGAAATCAGCCTAGAAGGATGCTACGCTTTATGTGAAGCCTAAGCCTAGCTTCGCCAGTTTTGGCGATCACGTAAAGGTGGTCAAGCGACTACGTAACAAAGCTTTGAGCAAGCTTGCACGTGCCGTAATGTAGAGCTGCATTTAATTAAAACGCGTTTTGGCATATTTAACAGAGAATTTACATTTGCTCTGAAGACGAAGAAGAGCGCATTTGCCAATTAGGAAATTTTTTCAAGCAGACTTTCCGTTTCCGTGGAGGTCTTTTTAAATCAAGGTCTAGAAGAGCATAGACGTGTCGGGTGCTCGTAATTATCAATAAATCAGACAGTGGCAGTGAATCGCGTAAACCAAGTGTTGAAGTGGCCGCTGAAAGCTTCGCAGAAAAAGTGAGTAGAGAAGTGCCAAATTTGTGGGGCACAGTGAGTAACCTTTTTGTTGCCCAGGTTAGGAAACTAGAAAAATTGGAGGCAGCAAAGCAGCGTCGACGCACGGCCAGGGCCAAAGGTCGACAAGACCTTTCGCCAAGGGAAAATCCCTTAATTTTGTTACCAGGGCTCAAGCCAGCGGTAATTATGAAAATAGAGTGTTTGTTAAAGGCAGTGCTTACTGTTTGAATGGAAAAATTTACAGATTGGGCCCTGCAGTAAAGAGTCAAGTCCCTAGGCAAGGGGTACCCCTAACCTGAGGGATGAAGTAGAGAAGCTACAACCAGCGCAGGAGGAGCCGATCCCCAGGAAAAATCAGGCCAACAGCGCGGATGCGCAACTCATCTCTTGGCCAGCTTCGTGTCGGGAAAAGCGATTAATTCTTTTTTTTGTGAAAATTTGCTAACCTCGCGGGTTAACCTTGACCTGACCCCTGTGTTCTAACCTCCTCCTAATGCAAGTGAAGAATAATTTTAAATAGGGTTTACCCTTAAAGCCCATTTGGTTACTTTTTCTTCTGAGATTTGTGCGAACAATTTGCTCTAACAAAGACAATGTGATTAATGGCCCAAAACATTTGTTAATATTGGCCTTTGAATTTAAAAACTTATGCTCGAATTATGCTCTCGATCTGCTTGCGTCTAGCCGTGAATTTAATGAAGCCGAATAACGAAAATTTATGCTGAATTTCCAATATTTTAATTTAATTTATTATTAATTTAGTTTTTAATTTAATTTTTACACCTTTATTTTTTACTTCAAATTAAGTTCCATTGTTGCGTAGCAAAAAGAATAATAATATAAGAAAAATAGGGCCATTCGGACTTTAACCCCTTTTTTCCAGAGAAAATCTTCGAGGGAGATCGATCTTCGCCGATGGAAAATTGAGTGAGTCAAAAAAAACCATTCGAATGAAAACATGCAATTGAAAAAAAAATGAAAATACTTGAAAACTTAAACCATTTAAAAATGATTTAATTTAAAATATACAAAAATAAAATCTCCATAAGCTAATGCAACAATTGAAATTGAAATTGAAATGAACTAAAGACATGAAGTAAATTTATTTTTAATAGTTAATAGAAAAGAGAAAACATGAAGTAAACGAACATTTAATAATACAATTTAAATTTGATTTAAACTTTTAAGAAAAATTATTTCTTTTGAATTTTGTGCACAATTTTTAAACACATATATGTACATCTATGCACCTCCTTACATTTTACATTTTAATTTTAGCTTATATTTATCTTTGTTAGCTTTAAGTATTGAATTAATTTTATTAAACAAGTTTTAATTTTAAAAATCATGTTAGCTTAAAAACCGGTATATACCGACTCGTAGGATGACTCCACGGTCGTAGGGTCCTGAAGGGATCACCAGAGCCATGCTCTTGCGGCAGGTGATCGTAGGTTGGGTGGGCACAAAGCGAGCACAACAACATCTGTGTCTCTGCATTGTATAGATTTTCTCTCTGTCTTCTCTTCTCTCCACTTCCGCTTTTCTTCTGTCTTCTTTATGTTGTGTGAATTTTGTTTATCATTTCTTCCGGTTTTGTTCTAGCTTTTATTTTGTCGCAGCACGCTCAATTCTAGTCTTTGTAATAATAATGTGTAGTCGTTGTCCGAGATCTGGGTGAGCAAGACCTCCACCCCCAAAGCCGACGAGCTAGAGCCGGAAAAATAAAGCGTGCCCCAGCAGCCCAGATCCTCACCAACCCCGACGAACTTTATGGTTGCACGCTACAGCAGGGGATTGGTTAGCAGGTTTAGCTCGGTTTTGGCCAAGGAAGAGCACAAAATATAAAAGTGGAATGAATACATAGCCGACATTCCTGGCGAATGCCAAGCGAACGACGAGCGGCTCTCGTCGTCGTGAGTCAGTTGGAAATTGTCATAAAAATTAAAAATCAATTTTATAATCCAGTTAGAAGGGGAAAAAACGCACAGACCAAAGCGGGACAGACAATGTTAAAGGGGCGACCACAAATACAACCACAAATCAAGAGGGCGATATGGGCACGCAAACATTTGTGGGGCTCACTTTCTATATATACATATGTTTGTATATACATACCGACGTGGCCTTATATACGAGTAATACCTGAAAAAACACACCTCGGTCTCCGGACTGGAATGAAGAATTTCATAGTTTTCGCCCCCAAACGAAACGATATTCGAATCGCACCTTCATTAACGGACGACTCGTGAACCGTGTTGGCCGCGTTTTTTCTCATTGGCTTAAATATTTTTAGTAATTTATATACTACCGCAGAGTTGTAGGCCGCTTCGTCGCGTCAGCGGGTGTAAAAACTTTTGAGAACTTTGTTGTAAAAGTTAATTTTTGGGTCCTCTGAAAATTTCTAATCCATTACATGGCACGCAACGTTTGGTGACAACTCTTTGGCAAACTTTTGTGACAACATTCACGAAACTATTTAATTATTTATTAAAATCCGTCTGACCCAATCAACAATGAGTGCATTCATGATGAAGCCAAGGAGGTTGTGGAAAGTGCTGATCAAGTGCTGAAGGGTGGAAAAACTCCCCCTGGAAAATCGTCAAAAGCAGGTGCCACTCGGAGCTTTGTCATCTCTCCATCATCATCATCATCGTCATAATTTTTAATGTGCAATTCTATTTCGGTGGCAGTAATTTGTGGTGAAAGATTAAACAAGATGGGTGGCATGTAATACTGGAAATTATGGTCTTGTTCTGAGAGATAAATTGTGGAAAATGAAGCTTAAAACCAGTGCTTAAGGAAGTAGAAAATATGAGAGAAATATTGCTCTTGTAAATATAAAATAAATTTGCTTACAAAATGAAATACCTTCAAAATATCAATTAAAATAAATGCTCATTTTCCGCTGCTGTTTTTCAGTGAACTTCCTTATCAATTTTAAACTTAAACCCATTTCTAATATCCGCGAAAACAATTAGTAATTGACTAAGGGCATGGGTACATTTCCAACCTACTATTTTTAACTCTCAGCATGAGTAATATCTTTGCTAGTAAGCTCCAGCCAAAAGCGTTTCAATTAAAGTGCCGATAATTAATGTCTGAAGCAGCAAAGCGAAACTTAGCCCCAGTTAAGTACCAGTACAATATTGATTAATGACATCGGGGTTTCCAGTTGAACACGTTCCACACATTGCGTTCTCTTTGGCCATTTACCCAAATTGACAATTTAATTTGCAACAAACAAGCCAGCTGACGGACAGGATAATGCAATAATCAAAGTGAAGAATAAGCCAAAAGCTTGACTAGCATATCGTGATTCGTGAATGTGAATGTGAATGTGAATGTGAATGTGAATATGAATATGAATTTGACACCCGGACAGGTGAAAGGGGGTTAAGAGACGGGGTTTTCTTTGCTGCACACCTGAAAGGCAAGCCAAGAAAGAAATATAAGAAAGCAAAACCCACTTACACCGCTCCCAAAAGGAAAATCAATAAAGTGTCTTGAAAGTAAAAGGCAGAAACGAACTTTGAGCATTTGTGTGCTGTCCCTGATTAGATAAATGACCCGCGGGGTTGTGGTGCTGGTAAAAGGAAGAACAAATACGATTAAATCAACCTACAAGGCACATGCAACAACAGCAACTTGCAAAAAACACAATTTAAAATTAGAATTAGACAATTAGACAAATGGGACGGCGGGAGGGAGGGAGGTAGGGAGGGGAATGTGCTACAAACACGTGCAAAAAATGTTGCCTGGTTTATACACACACTCTATATAGAGCTCAATGTCACGCAGCTCTTACACACTCACACACACACTCGAGGGTAGATGTGCGCGGCATACGGGGCGTATGATTTATTTAAGCGTCTATTAAAGTCCTTTCCATTGTTCTTCCGCCGCACAGCGCGAGTATGTATAGTGGCTGTTGTTGTTTTTATATTGTGTTTGTTTTGCCATATATGTATGCCTGTGGTTTACTTCTCACCGTGTGAAGGACATTCGTTGAACTGCAAAACGCATTTGCTTTCTGCTAAAATAACTTCAAAAACTTTCGCATGTTTCAAGGGGGCGTGTACTTTTAATTAACAAAAACCAGAAGCGGCGGCGGCATTTGAAATGGAAATCTGATCTATCATGTTAGATGTTAGATGGTTTAATTGCTGTTCCGGTTAAAAACAAAACAGACAGGTGAAAGGAGAGCTCTGAGAGGGTAACACTTTTAATAATAAATGCTCAAAGGATGTCATAGAACATGCGATTGAGGTGGAAATTGAACAAAAATTGTTAGCTTTTTGTTGAACATTAATTTAATAATTCCATAATTGTCTAATTTCAAGGGGAAGCTTTTAAATAATTTTTAAATTAAATTTTATATTGTAGGAAGTCAATTTATTTATATTTAAATGGCGGGAAATCATTATGGAAATAAATAGACAGATAGAAGAAAGAATACAATACACATTTCAGTAATGTTTGATATCTTTTCCATATAATTTATTGAAGAATTATTAATATATTTGAGGAATATAAATAAAATGCCTTTTTTGGTTTTAAAATATATTTATAGAAGAGCTAACGGAAATACGTATAAAAATCTATCAAATATGACAGGACTCTTTATAGATTATTATTATAAATACAAGAAATAAACAGACATTGTTCAAAAACAATATTCATATATATATTTGACTACTTAAAGAACTATAGTAATAGATTTTTAATAAAATACAGGATAAGTTCTTTATAATTAATATCTTTTTAATCTCTGTATATATAAATCTGGCATAAAAGTAAAGCAAATATAACACAGACACTTTTAGGTGGGCATTTTTCCCCCAAAATATATTTCAATTACTGGGAAATTTCACTGTGAAAATCAAGCAAATTTTAAACACTAATCGAATTGACCATCTGGCTGATTTCTGATTTCAATTGAATGCCGGAAAATCAAATAAATTATATAGATATAAGCTTGCAAATTGAAATCCAACTGGGGTCAAGCATCACAATTCATCAACAAACCTGTCCCTGCCCCCACCAACCAAACCATTAAAACCCGCAAAATAAAAACCCTGATAAATCGAATTGTGTAACTAAATTTCTGTAACCATCGAATCACGAATTTAGGTGTCGTGCAATTTTGGACTGTAGCGAACTTTGCCTAGGCGATCGCGATCGGTAGGTAAATTTGCTTCGTTGCATCAGCAATTCAAGTTACCGAGCGGAGCAAAAAAAAACTAAAAATTAGTCAGCAAATTTGAGAGCAAATCAAATCACCTGAGCAAAGCTAAAATAAAAAAAAAAAAACCCACAACCTGTGTTCCAAAGCAAAATACAATTTATGATTTTTTTAAAAACTTCCAATTGGCTGCAAAAAAATGTTCAAAACACTCCAGACACGCTGAAATTAGTTAAACTTATTTTCAGTTTGAATTTCACACAAATTTATTATGCAAATTTCCTAGATTACGCTTCTATACAAAATTGGCTGCAAATTAGTTTAGTTGAATTGAAAAATTGGCGTATGACCGAAAAGCATGCTTTTATAAAACGATTTTCCTTCATTTCGATTATACTTTTATCCTTGACATTTCCGCTTCCGTTTCACAGAGCCACAAAAACCACACAAATTCACAATGAAAAACAATCCAAGGAACTTGTCCAAGTTCCCCATCAAAATGCTTTTGTGATTGTCTTTTACAGCATATAATAATTAAACCTCAGTTGATTTACACTCCTTGAACGATTGTTGAGCAAGTGCAACTGCCGGGGTGATATATATACATAGATATAGCTTATATAGCTTATGATTTATCCATTTTACAAATCCACGAAGCGCTTCTATCAAATTGTCGTTTTTCGTTTCGTTTGCTGCGCCAAATAACTCGTTTCTGGATTAATATATCTTTATCGCATATTTCTTTCCATTTCCTTGTGGCCACTACTCAACTTTTGTTCAAAAATGAAAACCCAAAACAAAACGAAAACAAACAACAAAATACACATCCCACAGGACACAACCAGCGAGGTCAGCGATCCGGCACCGTCGCATCCGGAGCCGGAGCTCATCATCAGCTGCCACCGGGAACAGCGGCATCAGCGGGATCAGCGGGATCAGTGCGAACGGTATCATCTCCCGAGGGATAGTAAATCATCACCAGATCACAATCCTCGGCGTCGACGACGCCGCATGCTCCAGTGCATCAACTGAAGCAGCAGCAATCCCTGCCAAATCCACCGCCCACGCAGCATCACACCAGCCACAATCACAATCCGCACGCCTCCAAATCCGTCTCGATCCTGGTCTATAAGACCCTGAATACGGTCTTCAAGAGCAGCCGTAAGATCATAGTGCGTGTGTGTGAGGTGGCCAGCGCCAAGAAGTCCTTCACCATGTTCAAGTTCAACAAGGCCGCCCAGCAGCAGCGGATCGACAATAGGGCCAGTGCCGTCACAGGACATGACCCCTTTGTGCGGCCGCCAGTGCCCGAAAAGTGAGTGTGATCCTTGGGCTTAAAAAGGAGTCTCGAAAATGGGTGGAATTAAGGTTGGAAAAGCAATGGAAAATAAGTGAAGAACATGGATTTTGAACTGATATTTCAACAGGGATTTAATAATAAATTGTATTATTTTGTATACAAAAAATAATATACATTCTTGGTTTAAAAACTTATTTAACATTCAACAGGAAGACTTTGTTTAAATGTTAAAATTCTTAAAACCGATTTTAAAACGAACTTTTTTGAGCTCTTTTACTTTTTCCCCTTCTCAAACAAAGTTCCAAATTATTTAAAATAATTATTAAACATTTGCTTAGGTTTGTTATATGTTTACTAACAATTGAATGCCTTACTAACATAATATTCTATTGTAGATTAACCAAATTATTTATAAATTTTGCTATCGAATTTAGACAAGAAATAATATAATACCAATCTATTTGAGGAACTTTATCATCCCATTCGATTATTTACCAAATTATTACTTACAAAACAATACATTTTCGATAATTTTGATACACTTCATTATTAATATATGGTATTTATAACAACCAATGCTTTTCCAACTCTCTAACATAAAGTCTAATATGTAAGTCGTGAGTTTTGTCTGCCAATGAGTGTGTGTATTTGTTTTTCAATTCGAAAATGCAACCGATTTGATGTCGATAACCGATAACCGATAACCAATTCGATAGGAAAGTGAAGCACATTATGAAGAAGCTGCACAAGGCGAATGGCCTGAAACGCTCCAATTCAGCAATTGAGTTCGATGTCTCGGCTTTGACGGCCGCCAATCGTCGCCAGATTTATAGTAGGTGAGTACCCGATCTAAGTCAAGATATATATAGATGATATATATATACGCCCGTCCGTGTGTGTGTGTATATAGGACTTTTGCAATGTGTGGGCGAAAAAAAAAAACACCTAGCACAGTGCACAAGCTCCTCGGAGTTATACTTTAGTTTTGTGACACATTTTTAGTTTTGATTCAGTGAAGCTTCTTTGACAGACCGACAAAATGGAAGAGAACACACACTTAATGCTGATTTCATTCATTTATTTTCATGTTTTTCTTTATGCCCAAAAACCAAAACCCAATGAATCCAAATACCAAACAAATGACACCCACAAAACCACGCAAACCACACCATTTGTGTACCCCTTCTATTTGCAGCAATCGGTCGGCGAGCTCGGAGCAAGATAACTCAGATCAATCCGAGCACTCGGAGAAATCGCCGCTGGTTAGCGCGAGGTTAGACAATCTAGCTAGGCTCTTCTTTAGCAAGTCGATGCCAGCGGAAACCGGAAGTAGAGATACCATAGATTCAGTACTGAATACAAGGTTGCATTTACTACTCTACTCTATACTATACTAAATATATATATTTTAATACTATTTTTTGTAATTAGCTTGTACTAATACTTGAGATTCTTCACTCACTATAGTGTACAAATCCCATAATTTTCTCAAGTGCCATTTCATTTTCCTTTTGCTTGTTTCGTTCGATTCAGTTGATTTTTTATTCCAGCTCGAACAGCACTCTTTGCATGTCAAAATAAAAAAATGAATAGAAAACTTGAAATGCTTTTAATGTTTGCCACACGTAGATTTCTTTTTCTGTAGAAACCACACTGAACCATTCCTTTTTTATTCGAATAATACAAATGCACCCGTACATAGAGATAACACACAAGTGTAATTGAAAAAGAAAAACCCATCTGATTTTTCAAGAGGGTTGAGCCGCAGCAAAATAATTAATTAACTTGAAAGCTTTTGTGGGCAATGATAATTGTATTTGAAATATGTATATAAATTATATATAATAGAAATTTCCCCTTATTTTCCCTTTGACTTTCAGCGAAATATCTCGGGCTCTTCTGACTCTCTTTCTCCTCTGTTGCGAAATATTTCCCCGCAACTTTATTCTCGAAAGTTTTCTCATTTCGAATGAAAAGCCAAAGGCAGTGCCAAAGTCAAAGTATTAAATGCGATGATAGAATGCATTTTCCGCTGTACTGAATTCCCCCTCTCCCTCTCTCTCCCCTTTCTTTTGTTCCAAAAAAAAGGCAGGTGAAAGTTTTGCCAAGGTGAAAATTCCTCAAATTAGATGCCCTGGCATACAAAATACACTGGCAGAAAAAGAGGTGTTGAAATATGGGTCAATGTGAACTTGTTGAAGGTGTTTTTTGAGACCGAAATTATGATAATATAATTATCTAACAAAAATATTTGAATCTAAATTAAGAAATACTTCATTTTTAGGTTGAAATTCGATTAGATTTTGTGAATTTATGAAGGTGTTTGTAGTACCGAAATTATAATAATTTAATTATCCTTACAAAAATAAGAACCAAATTTTTAGGTTGAAATTAGGGCCAATGTGATTTCAAAAAATGTTTTATTTAATACCAAAATTATGAAAATTTCATATTTATCAGTATAAACTATAAAAATGAAATTAAATATTTAACTTTTTAGATATATTTATAAATATCAATGGTATTTATTATTGTTTTATTTATATTATATATTTTATATATTGGTCTCTATTGCCATGTATTTAAAATTCTGTTCAGTGTTCAAAAATTGCAAATTAAATTATCAACTCAGCAAAAGTTTGCTCGAAAAAGGCGAAAATTGATTCGTGCCTGTGTGCATCTGTGTGTGCCTGCCATGTTGTGTATGGGTGTGTGTGTGTGCATGGGTGTCCGCCCTTTTGGCTTCCCCCTTGCCCCCCCCCCCCCTTTCGGCCACGTGCTGAGCCGTATGATGAATGTGCAAGCGAGCGTGAGCATCTGTTCGTGTGTATAAGTGTCTGTCGATGTGGAGTGTGTGTGATAGGTGTGCTGTGTGTGTGTGTGTGTGTGTGTGGTGCCCCTAACGAGCAGATGAGTGTGCATGTGTGAGTGCTGCAAAGTATGCAATAAAAAATTTCACACACGAGCACGTTAATTACGCGCGGCATCCAAACATTTTTGAAGAACTTCAGCTCTTCCCCCCTTCAATAGGTGTGGTGTCTCTTCTGGCCCCAAAAGGTATCTATGTATCTGACAAATGCTTGTATCTGTGGCCCTGAAGCTCTTTGGTTCGTTTATATCCATGAGTCCGCAGATGCTTGATTTTTTTGAATTAATGAACGCGGAAACTGAAGCTTGAAAAAGGGTTTGACTTTGTAAATTTATATTTTTTAATTAAAGGTTATTGGTGGGGCTTTCAAATTGAGCGGAAGGAAGCTAAATAAATTTCAAAATAAAGCTCCAGCATCTTAAAAGTATCAAGAACGGTTTCCCATATATTCCCTTTAATAAAAGTAAAAAGAGTTTCCTTGGAAAATCTAATTTATTTCTTACTACATCCGTGAGTTCAAATCTGGCCAGCCTTAGCTTGCTTTTCCTCATTTCCTCCTCACCTTTTTCCACGTTCCAGAGTTGGCAAACAACAAGTGTGTCGAGTGTTTTGCAAATATTTAAACTGCAATATCACCAAGAAGATAAACGAAAGGAAGTCACCTCTCCGGGTTTTAGTTTTCTTTTTTTTTTCTTTGCAACAAAAATTAGCTTAAATCAACAAACAAACAAACTGGTGAAACACTCTTGGAACATATACATATATACACATACTAACTACATACAAATTCATGGGAGAATGGTGTGAGAGCTGCAATCGGAGTCAAGGCCTTGAACAGCAGGGAAATGAGAAATATTTCACATACGCACCGTTGGCCAAAAGCGCAAGCCATGCGCTTAAAGAGACAGGCAACGGGCAAAAGAGTTTTCCCAGCATTTGGTTGTTCTGGTCTAGCTAACGCACACATGAGTACTACACAGAGAGAAAATGCTAATACAATTGGTTATTAGTTGAAAAATTTTGGTGGATATTTATAAATGATAGATAGTTTGAGAAAGTCTATCTTTTTATTGGTTTATCTTATGATTGCAGATTTTTAATTAATTTAAAATCGAGTTCAAAATTAGGCAATAAATAGGAAATAACTTTATTTTAAGTGAAGGAACAAAGTTTTATTATTTAATTAGTGTTTTGCTTTCTCTTGACTATGAAACTCGATTTAAAAATATTTTTAACAATCTTTTAGACACTTTTTAAAAGTGTTTTCCAATACAGGACTCAATTTATTTGCGTTAGAGGATAGTACGACCTTAAATACACATAACTTTAAAGACTTGCTTAACCCTTATTATTTTCCCTTCTCTATTTTACAATATTTAATTTCTAATACAAAACTAGTATTATCATGATTTTTCTCTGCGTGTATTTGTGTTTATTTTCATTTCGTTTTCGTTTCTGCAAGTTCTTGTGACGCAATGAAAGTGAAATGGATTGTGAGGCAGAGGAGCAGAGGGATCTGGGGAAAGGAAAGGAAGCCTCTTGGCCAACATTTTATGCCGCACACGAACACACTTTCACTCTCACTTTGTCCCCCTCTGTCCCCTCTCATCTCTCCTCTTCCCTCCCCTGGCGACTGCCTTTCGTTTTGTGCCTTATTAAATTTCAAACACATGCTAAACTTAACCCGAGGATGTGCTTAACCTTCGCTCTGTTTTGATTGAGTGGCCGTAAGTGTTTGTTTATGAAGACTGTCCTGCTCACACTCTCCTCCCTCTCCCTCTCTATCTCTTTCTACTTTCTCCTCTTTGTTACAATTGTTATTTTGCCTCTCTCTCTCTCTTGCTCTTTCTAATCTCAGTTTCTATCTCTGTTTCTGTCTCTTTGTTAAGCCTCCCAAGTGAGTGCAGTTTGTTTGGCTTTTCTTCCTTCTTTTTATTTCGTTTGACACCGTTTCCATTTTCTGTTGCTTTTCTTTTTGCACTCTTGCTCTTTGTACAACTCTCACTTGCAACAAAAAGAATAAAATAAGAAACAAGTAAGAAACAAATCTAGAAAAAAAAACGAGACCAAAGCTAAACGAAATGAAATGATAAACTCTGCTTCCGTTTCCGCTGCGCCATTGTGCAGGCAGTTTACTTCCTCTTCCTCTGGCCTGTCCCTTGCTCTTCCGCCCTCCTCATTGAGTTGCAAATTCCTTCGTCTGCGGCACCTTTCAACTTCCTGCCAAACGAGAAAAAAATTTGGCTGTGCAAATTATTTGTGTGTCCGTCTCCCTTTTATTATTTTTTTTGGCAATTGTCCTGTGGCTTGTGCAGATGTTGATGCGTTTTTTTTTTATCGAGGTCTTCTGGGCATTGTTTTCTGGTCAATTTTGAATTTGTTAAATATTTCAGTCAGCGGTTTAGTTGATAGATTTTTTATATATTTCTCGAGGCGAAATTTTTACACTCTTTAATATTCATAATCAGGAAATTTATATGAAAATAATAACCTTGAATATATGATTGGTTCTCTAATATGTAAATTGATATGAAATGCCAAAGGGCGTAAGAATTCAGTTCTTTATTAATACCAATAAAAACTGCTATTTAAAAGATAAACAATAATAACATAAACAATTAATATGAAAGGCGTCCTTTTCAATAATCACATTTAACATCTATGAATGTTTCTTCATAAAGCTATAACAATCCATAACTAAATTGAATGCATAAAACCATTATCAAATACCAGGTATTACCATAAATTATGAACCTGTGAAATTTATCTGCCCTAAAATTCCTTATACTGAGAAATCAGCAAACAAAATCCCTGTAAATAAATTATTCAACATGAAACCACATAATTGAAATGGAAGGACGATACTTTGCAAACTGTGGGATAAATTTATGTTAATTGTCTCCTCTCCCCCCTTATGGTCTTTTGTAAATAATACCTTGCCAAAGTGTGCTGTAAAGCGTTTACTAAAAAAAAAAGAACCTCATGATTAGTTCTTAGTTTTAGTTGTAACATACAAAAAAAAACAAAGTTTCTTATGTAGCAATTCTTAACTACGTATGCTCTCTATCAACAATTATTTGTGAACTTAAAAAACATAAGAATTAAAATTTAATGAAAACTTTCAGGCCCAACATCAAGTATCAGTATTCCGCCTTGGACAGCGGCAATGGGATCGTGGAGCGGAGTCCCAGGGAGCGGGCCCAAAGGGAGAAGGCCTGAATGCCACCCAGGAATGGATTCAGAGTGCCAATGGACGTTACGAGGTGATAGCTCATCTGGATGAGATCGGTTCCAGCATGGCAAGAACTGGTTTCTGGTCACAGATGCTTCGGTAGGTTATTACTTCTTAAGATCCCTAGTTTATAGTTTAAAATTTGGGTTCTTAATAGGTCGCACAGATCGTCTGTTGACTTTGCTACCTCTGCCCCCCGACTGCGTGGCTTTGAGGATCTGCCGCCCAATGAGTGTGCCAGGAGATCCTTATGGAGCTCCTAGGTTCACTGCATCATCCTTACATATATCCCGTGCTGGATCTGGGCTTCTTGCGGAACAGCTCGCATAACTATGCCTGCCTGGTGACGCCCTTCAACTCACGCGGCAGCCTCAAGGATCTCATATATAAAGTAAGTTCACTTAAATTTAAATAACATTTAAATTGAATTTAATAATAATGAAACCTCCCCCTTTGCAGGCACAGTGGAACGAGCCATGGGCCAAAAAGTACACGCGTAAGCCAAATGGTTTGCCAGTGAGCCAAGTGCAGCGCCTGGGGCGTCAAATCCTGGAGGCCTTGCTCTTCCTAAAGGAGCGCGGCTTTCCGCTTCATGGTCACCTGCACAGCGGCAATGTCATCCTGCAGAATGGGGCAGCCAGGTGAGTCCATTGTCCACTGTCCTCAGGGTTCATTCATCCATGAACTAATTCAATAATGACTGAAAAATATTGATACCGAAGCGGTGGCAACATTTTCAGTTATGCAAAATTCATGGGGGTAAAGAAAGGGAAAACAATTCCAGCCTAAATGGCAATTAAAAGCAATTCAATGGAATCGTTGACTTTAAATGCATGCCCCCCGAGCCCTTGCCCCATCTCCTGCCCATCCAGGTCCTTGTAACTGCTGTGCGACAACGCGTAAAGCGCCCAGCCCCAGTGCCACCCACTTGGAAACATCGAATGGGTGTAACAAAAAAAAGCTTTTGCTTTA